TTAAAAAAAAAAAAAGATGTCTTGGGTAATGTCTTTGGTCAATGTCATGAATCTGGATCATTATTATCATATTTCCTAATAATTTCAATATTATTTATAGACAGGAAGCACAATTGGTTAGTAAGAAGGTAGACGTATTCATCAATCTAATTTGCCTACACATTTCTTAATCCAAAAGAAGGCTTAAGAAGAAAAGTGTATTTCTAATCACCTCATTTTATAGCCCCCAAAATTAATTGCAGATAATTCAAGTGAAATTGTTCAAGGTTAGACCAGCTGCTCTCTTAACTCTTACTTCATTACTTTTTCCATTAAATCATTTATTTGTTACATTTGGAAACTATAGACCGAAAGATTTGAGGATATAGAACACATGAGCCTATGTAAAAAGATTACTTTTTGTTAATTGTTCAAACATCATGGATTTCCTCTCTCTCTCACTTCTTCTAGGTTGAAATAGTTCTTCAGGTTGAAGAAGACAGAAGTGAAACAAAATTTGAATACTTCATCTCTGTTGATAGATGACTTAAATGAAAATCACCCCTGAAGAGTATGACTGTTTCCATCTATTGTATTTTTCTTACTCTGAACATAGCTTTAAAAATCTCAAATCATAATTTAAAAAATCTCAAATCTTTTTGTGTTTAATAAATGTAACTACATTGTGAGCTTTGTTATCAAGACATCATTATTCCTTTTCATTATATTTAAAAAATATTTGCTTGATTATATGCTTATATGCTGAGCACAATTGTAAAAATAATTACAAATTCACAAAATGTGTTGTTAATGAAATCACTACCTTAAATCAGAATTTACGATCCAAATTGTGTAAAAAATGGTAGTTTTTAGCTAGTAAGAAGTAAATTACTATAAAGTGCCACCTTTGAAGGGAAAAGTACTGTTCCATCCCTCCAAAACAGGGTTTCAATATGTAATTTTGTGAAACAACTCTCCTCACTCCATATGGACCCTATTAAGTCACTACTACAATTAAATAAAAGCAGATGTTACCAAATACAATACTTGTTAGATCTCTTATCTAAAGCATGCTATTACATGGTAAACATGTATTAATCTATTTCAGATGAGGATTTAAGGCCCTCTGAGTATCAGTAACTGCCTCCTTCTTTCGATGTCACCAAGATACATCAAGCAGGAACTTGCCAGGTTTTCTTGACACTGTCCAGCTCCCAGGCAACCCCCCATGATTTGTTTCTATCCTTTCTTGTTCAACAAACATTTTAGCACTGCTTCTCAGAACACAGAACCATAATGTTACTAGCTAATTTGGGGAATATAAACAAGTATTTGAACTTCAATAAAATATATTAAAGAGACATTCATTCATTTTAATTGCATAGATAACAGCACGAAACTTACAGGGGAAGTATTTATTAGGAAAGATATTCTTAATTCCCTAAATGAGTCTATGACAATTTTTATCAAAATTATGAATTATGTTTAGTGATAATTTCACATTACTGTTATTGTTAGGGAACAGTTTGCAGTGTATCTCTTGTATATCTGCATGTCTCATGAGTGAAGTACTAACTGCTTTTGTTCGGGACTTTGTTTTCAAAGATGTTTGCATAATGATCAGACTTGGAAGGCATATTGTTTCACTCTGAAGAAAAGAGTAGGCTTGCTTGCTGCTCAACATAATAAAACAAGGATTCCTACATAAGCAAAGGGCAGACATGCTTCCTTCCTATTATAGAAGATTCAAGTTCCTTAAGCTTAGGAGTCCTCTCTTGAAACCCACTGTTTGCAATGGTCATCTTGCCCTCTTCATGTCTCCCTGGAAGAATTGGGATTCATGTAATGTATGCAAAAATTCATATACTCTGGCTACTGGTACTGTTATGAGAAATAAGTCCTTTATCTCTGAATTGGGAGTCTTGTGTCTTCTCCCAGCATCCATGAAATCTTTGTCTCTGTTTCATGGCAGGCTAACTTTACTACCTTGCAAGTTGGGTAAAATCTCAACCCCTTCACAATTCTTGAAAGATGTTTCAGCAATGAAGTGGGATACAGAGAGAGAGACAAGGATTTCTGGTAGAGTAAGAATGAGAGCCATGCAGGTTGACAGAATTTAAGGGAAATCTATGATAATTGATAATGAACATGCTGATCAAACTGTTTGGTCAACCAGAAAATAAATGGTTCTCAACTTTATTGTCTGTTATCGAAAAGAAATTGGGGCACAGTTGCATGCTGGCCACTGGAAAATAGGTTCACAGAAAGCTGTCTGAACAGTGTGCAGCAGTGGCTAATTCTCCTCTAGGTGGGGGCAGATGGGGAGGGAGGGAGAGGAAGGATGGAGGAGAGACTTACTCACCAATATGGTGAGCAGTCTCAGGTCCACCCATTTTAACAACTAGTGCTAAACTTAGTCCTAGAAGGACAGATTTCTACTTTGTTTCAGACCACAGTTCTTGAGATGGGTACCTATACCAGCATGAAAGGAGGAGAATTCACAGGAGGTATGGGCAGAAACCAGGTGAATCTTTAAAAGTTTGGCTACTTCATTTCAGAGAAAAGGGGAAGGGCAGATAATGCGCATTAAGGAAGAATGGCAATAACTGGGCTGTGGTAGAGTTCAGCCCCTCTTAACCGTCTTTTTTTTTTTTTTAAGATTTTTAAATTTATCTATTTGACAGAGAGAGAGATAGTGAGAGCAGGATCACAAGCGGGGGGAGTGGGAGAGGGAGAAGCAGGCTTCCCGCCGAGCAGGGAGCCCGATGCGGGGCTCAATCCCAAGACCCCGGGATCATGACCTGAGCCGAAGGCAGACGCTTAACGACTGAGCCACCCAGGTGCCCCCCCTCTTAACCATCTTTTATGCCAATCTTAGACCCACTTGAAAATCACAGAAAAAGAGCTGAAGGTTTTGCTAATTTGTTTGCTTTGCTTTGTTTTGTTTTTGTAGTGGCTCCTGGATGCTATAAGGGAGCTTTGATCCTCTGAGGAAGCATTTTCTGAGGAAAATGAAAACAAATGTCTCATGGGAAACCATTGATTAGGCGTTGGTTAGAATTGAGTCTGCTGCTGCTCCAAATGGTTACAGTGCTGACAGAGATGACCCACTGCAGAATGAGAAACTGACCCCCAAAATACAGATAAATTCTTATGAAACAAACTTAGATAAGTTATTGTGACCAAGTACAGCACCTCTTGAAGCCAGAAATGCACCTTGCTTATTGGCATGCAGCCCTTTTTTCCCTCTTTCCCCACCCACCCTTGCTCTCCCTCTATGCCAACCTCAGCTGCTTTAAGGAGAAAGCTTTTTAGGAGTGGGGGTGCAGTTCATCTGGCCTCCAGGAAGATGTTGGGGAACTTTGGGGAGGGGAGAATCACAAAATATATGGCTCTGTCGGATACAGTCCCTGAAGTCACCATCATACTTGGTCCCATGGAAAGAAGGGGTACCCAAGTGTAACATATGAGTTTTAGGCAGTGCTCATAGTGGGGAAGGAAAACTAAGTGACCTTGTGGGTGGGATCCATTGAGCCAATTCAGTGTGTTATTATGGCTTCTACTACTGAATTGATGATTAATCATGTGGATATTTTATATGCTGGTGGTGTGAATGCTTATAAGTGTCAGCAGGAATCTGCTAATTGGAAAAAGCCTCTGCATCAATAAGCAATACTAATGCTTTAAAGTCACACAACCCTGATGTCCCATTTGAGCTACATATGTTAGTGCTGATGAGTTTGCCATGGGAGCCTCTGACAGTGAAAAGCAGCCTCACACCATGGCATCTTTCAGGGTTTTGCCGTCATGTCCTCCCTGACTTATTGACCAGGAAAACCCTTTTTCTAAAGTAGCTGTTGGCTTGTCATTGGAGCTCTTACAGAAACTGGGTACTGAACCATGAAGATGTATGACTCTCTACCTTGATATTCCCATTTTCAGGTAGGTCAACTCACACTAACCAAACAAGGTAGAAAGGGCCAACAAGCCCCTCTTGTTCAATGGAAAATGTATAATCAAGAATGCAACAGGTTAGGCCCAGCAACATTGCAGCTTTATATGAAAAAATGGCAGCTATAATTTAGGGGGAAACATTATCTCCAACCCACCCACTGCCTTTGACAGCAAAACTGGCTTGATAGGGTTTTCAATTCACTAAGGTTCTCCTAAATTCTTGGGTCTGGATCACTGATGTTTTGACTAAGTTAAAATTTGATCATGTCCCAAACTGAACTATTCAGCATCAGCACCAGCTACGCTGAACTAAAAATGGAGAGGCGATCTTATCTCAGGGGGCAAAACTCAAGGATGTGGTAATAGCTCTGGCCAATACTGTACCTGTTGAATCCTGTTACAATTTTTCTGGCTTCTGGGCTTTTGCCAATGGCCTAGATGTTTGGTCTGCCACACAAATCATGGTTGCTGACTGAATTGCTTGGATCACTCTTGTAGATGTTGAGGGTAAGGGCCTATTCCCTGATGAGTCCAACTAAAATCTAGCTGTTGTGTGAGACTGCATTGCCCAGACTGCCAACCTTATTGCTTAAATCCAGTCCCATACTAGACATAGTAATGCATCCTCCATTGTAGAGTGGGTATGACTTGGAGGACTCTCTCTCTGGAGTTGGGCAATCTTAATCAAAGAATAAAGGAAACCTCTATCATGTATTCTGAGCAATAGGGAAGAATTTCATTTTAAAATTTAGTGAGAGAGAATCTTTTTTCCTGCCAAAAGCAAGGAAGTCTATAAACTCCTGGTATTTCACCTATGAAAAGTCCTTTGGCAGAGATTTTGCAGATTGTGGAAGATGCAATTTGACTCCTTGCTCTGCCATTTACTAGCTATATGACCTTAAGCAAATCAAAAACTCCTAGAGATTCAGTGTTATTTTTTAAGAAAAGAGAAATGGGGTAGTTTTAAATATCAAAGAAACAACACCTGTGAAAGTGCTTTCTAACTACAAAGAACTCTAAAAATATTAGTTATTTTTCCAGTATTTCTGTACATTTAAGCTGAAGAAATAGAAACTAAGCATATAAATATAGCCCACTGTCTATACATTAAAACTAAACAAAATTTACAGAAAACAGACTGTGACTTGAAAGCATTTGGCACATTAGCTGTAATACAATATAATAAGCAATACACTTTGACTAAGCAAGGAATGGGAACTTGGGTGAAGTACACAACAGCTTGGAAGAAAGGAAGATTAAAGAGGAAGAGAATAGAAACCAGAAGGACAAAGAACTATACTTTACACAAAAGCCACACAGTAGTTATCTATATATTATCATACTATTTGTAATTTTTATACTGGCACTTAACAGTTAATAAAATGTATGTGGTTTATCAAATAATATGAATCTAAACACTTCAACTAATTATCAAATATATTGCTTTGTTAAAATAGTTCTTTAAATTTTGATTAAGAAAATTACCTGGACTTTTTCAATTTAATGGAGGTCACTAATCATCATTCCCTTTTCCACACTGGGAAGACCAGGTAAAAAGTATCCACATATTTCATTACAATTTACTTAGCCTGGTATCTTTGTTTCTTTTGAAACTATGTAAATGACATAATTAATTTGTAAACCAGGGTGCCTACAACTTTTTCTTAGGTCTTTGCATGAAGCTAAGCATGGCCTATTTGTATTTATACAAAATGTTTTATCTTCTTAACTTAATTACCTTATATTTATCTTTATGGAATTTCATCTTGACTTTATATATTT